CGCGACGGAAAGCGTGGTGGCGGCTGTTCGGCCTTCCTCTAGTCACGCCCCCAGCTCGCGGCGCGCTCCGCCCCCGCCGCCCTCAGGCCTCCAGCCGCGCGGGGCTCCGCCGGGTCTTCACGGAGCCCGGAATGAGCGCGCATGCCCGCGCGAGGGTACGACGGTGGGCCGCGGCTGCCTGCGCTCATTCGCTACCGACCTTCGGCGACGGCGCGTGACGTCACTACGACACGTACAGTGGGCGGGGCAAAGGCCGGGTGGGAGGGGCGCTGGAGGAATCCCCTGGTGGCGATGGCCTGACACCTGCGAGCGGCCTCGTGGGTGCGGCTCAGGAGCCTGCCATCGCTGGGCTGTGGAGCAGGCGACTGAGCCAAACGGCTAGCAGAGGGGAAGGCAGAACAAAAAGCTAAGGTCCGATGAATTTATTCGGAATTTTTATTTCACAAAGTCTCGAAGGAAGGTTTTGCAGTCACCCCAATTTAAGTTTCAGCCCATTTCCTAAGTGAATTTCTACTTTTAAGTACGTAAGGGGGGAGGGACACCATCACCTTGTCAGTGTTTAGGGACCGGTGTAAAGTCCTGTCGCGCCCCGATTGGCAGTGGCAGCAGACAGGGAAGATGCAGGACCCTGACTCCAAGCGGCCCGTGCCTCCGGAGACCACCGGGCGCCCGGGAGCCTGAGGGCCGCGGGCGGCGCGGAGCCTACCAGCGCTGGCCCTGCTCTCTTTAGCTGCATCCCCCCCCCACCCCACCCCGTTTTCCTCTGGGCTGATAGTAAAACAGCTGTCCTACCTGCATTTAATGTTATTCTTAGGAAATAACTTATTCCATTTAATTTAATCTACCACCCAGCAAATCAGTCTTTCAAAACAATGCTGAAAGGGAAAGATTGTTTTATGTAGAAGAGTTAAACATGCCCAGGGACCACATATTTTGTTTAAAAGATGCAACCATACTGAAAATGAAGTGGATTCTTATTTTCATCATTTAAATTAATAATTGAAATAAAGGGACTGTTCAAACAGGTACTGTGGTTATTCTTTGTTAATGTCACAGTGTTATACGAGATTTTTATAATACAGGGGAGGGCAAAAGTAGGTTTACAGTTGTTTGTATGGAAAGAGACAGGCAGGTTATGATCATTACAATGGCTTTATTATAACACAAAAGATGTCACATTCTTGTAGTCTATTTACTGTACTCAAGTACACTGGAATAGAGTTCTCACCTGCCTTTGCCCAGCCCCATGTTGGTTGATTCTTGTATGTGCCCTGACCAGAGAGCGAACCTGAAACCTTGGTATCAGGGCAACGCTCTAACCAGCGGAACTACCCAGCCAGGGCTTAAGGCAACTTTTAAATGGTGTCTTAATACAGCTAAAATTCTTTTAATTTTCTCCCAGGAAATGAAAATAGGGTATTGAAAGGGTATCTATACTCCCATGTTCATTGCAACATTATTCACACCAGCCAGGACATGGAAACAACCTAAGTGTCCATCAGTGAGTGATGAATAAAGATGTGGTATTATGTACATATAAATTAAAGTTCTGAAGCTTTTATTTATAACTTCCAGCTGTTTAAAAAATGAGAGCATGTCTATCCAATCTTAGTAATTAAGACTATTTGATGGGGTACCAATTATGTATAGGCAGAAAGGAGAGAAGAAGGAAGAGGAAAGATAGAAAGCATATCAGGTAAAGCTGTTTCTTAATTGGGGAGAGGACTGACCTTAGCTCTCAGGCAAAGAGATTTATCTTACCTTTCCAGCTTCCTTTCTCCAGTCACTAGATCACAGGATGGATTCTTCTTCAATTCAGAAAACTGGCAAGATTCAGCGATTTGGTGGATAGAATAGAGAGAATGTGGGAATTCCCAAAGGAGTAAAGTCTAGAATGGAAAAAGAGAGGCAAGTACCAGCTCACAATTCCAAAACTATTGACTACAGGATTAATGGAGCACACAATTAGAGCTATACTTGAGTGCCTTGTCACTAACCTTCCACTTTCACAAATTTTAGACTTTCTCTCTGTCTTTAAATAAGAGCTAATATTTAATGAGCACATATCCTGTGCCAGATTACTATGCTAAAATGTAAAGCATTTGCATGAGTTAAAAATGTAATCCTCACAGCAACTTTATAAAGTTTATGTCTACTTTACAGACAAGATGACTAAGCCTCAAAATAGATTCTGCTCTATATGACGGACACAAAAGCTCTGGTTTTCATTACCATATTATACTCTTCACCAAATAAATAGAGAAACTCTTACATTTCTTTTAGCTGGGTGACAATATTTCAACCCCCAAACCAGAATTTTTATAGTTAAAGAAGAGGGGCAGATGGAAATTGGGAGGCATTCTCTGCCACATTCAATAAATCAGCACAGTTTTCCTCTAGCGTTGGAACAGATCACTGTTTTTTCAGCTGAGCACCAGATGAAGTAAATGGCTTGAATTTAGGGGTTGTGTTTTGTAAAGAGTCAAACCGCATTTAGCACTGTGGAATGCTCATACTATTGTGTATTTGGGGGCTGATGGGAGATCTTGTAAGTATGCATCTTCTTCCATATTACCAGCCAGGCATATATTCACTTTCTCTCTCCTGTCCTCTCCCCTTCTCTCTTTCCCTTCTTTCTTCCCTCCCCAGCCCTCCTCCCCATTTTAAGCCTATATAGTTGATTGGAATTTGTTACAATGGCATCTTTATCCTGATCGCTTTTCCATTCACCTTTTGAAATAAGTTTAGATTTCAGAAAAGCTCCAAGAGTAGTACAGGGAATTTTCATATTCTCTTCACCCAGCTTCCTCTAATAACATCTTGCATAACCATAGTACAATGGTCGAAATTAAGAAGTTGGGAGAGTAGCATTAACTAAGCTACAGAATTTATATGCATTTCACCAGTTTTCCTAATAATGTTCTTCTGTTGCTTCAGAATTCAATCTAAGATCTGGCATTCTATTTAGTCATCACATTCCTTTGTTTCATGTGTCTGCCTGTGACATCTCCTCAGTCTTTTTTTCCTTTCACGATCTTGACACTTTGGAAGCGTACTGATCATTTTTTTTCATATGGTGTTTCTGAAGTGGGCTTCTCTGGTGTTTTCTCATGATTAGAATACCACAGAAATGGCGTGCCCTTCCCAGTGTATTATGCTAGAGGGCATGTGATGTCAATGACATGTTTTTAATCAACGGAGTGTCATGATACAATTTACACTTTGGAAAGATAACTCTGGCAGCTAGGTGCAAAGTGAACTGGAGTGAAGGACAGTTGTCAAAGTCACCAATTAAGAAGCTGTTGTAACAGACTAGGCAGAAGATGAAGGTGGTCTGAACAAAAGCCATGGCTGCAGGAATGGGGATGAAAGTCTGAATATGAGATTTCTGAAGTAGAGTAATAGGATTTGGAGGCTGTTCCCATGAGTGAGAGGAGGAGAGCGAGGAACTGAGGTTAGTTACTAGGATATTAGGATGTCAGGTAGATGGTTGACTCCATTTCCATTGGTGGCTAAGATCTTTGTAATTCAGATTTCTTAATAAGATTTAAAAAATAATTGCTGGGGTGTGGCTGCTATAAGAAACTGCTTAAGTGTTTGTGGGGGGGGGAATGCAAAAAGAGAGGGAGAAAGAGATGCTTAGTCATTCATTTACTCTTGTTTTCAGGTTTCAGTTTTGGAAATTCAGCGTCTTGGGTCTATATGAGCAAGATCCAGGCAGAAGTATAAACATCTCATCATGGTGTCATTTTGTCTGGGTAAAAGGGAATTTTCATATGTACTTGAAAAATATTTGTGGAATGTTG